AGAGAGAGAGAGAGAGAGAGAGAGAGAGAGAGAGAGAGAGAGAGAGAGAGAGAGAGAGAGAGAACGACGTGCGCGCGCAATCAATCACGATCAGTTGCACGTGCACGTACACAAGCACGCACGTGAACATAATAGTTATAGATTAGTATACGTAACTATCAAAACAGAAATGATCGATGTTTTTTAATTCTATTAGATTAGATTCATTTCAATTAGAAAGAGTTGCATTAGATAAAAACATCGTTGTTAGATAACTTCACTACGAGTTTATGTTGTTTTTAAGTTGCCGAGTGAAACCCTTGAATTGTCGATTTTAGAATCCCGCGTGACATAATTCGTTGGATAATAATGTTGCATGCTTGATGGCTTATACGCTCGTTTAGAACACGAAGTCGCGTCCAGTAAGCAGAATAAAAAAACAAATTTATAAGGATTACGTTAAATCATAGTCTACAACAAATATATCACAAAAATAAAATATTTTCGGTTAGAGAAAAGAAAGATAAGAATACGTATATTACATACGACAAATGCAGCTAGAGCTAAAGATGATTGTTTTTACAGTGTTTACACGTATCGGGACATATAGCAGTCGCATGCGGAGGTTCAGTGGATAACTACTGAGATGAGACCGGTGCCTGTAATCGCAGATTAGTTAGACTAAAGGTTTTGGTTGCGTTTATACGGTTTAAAACCATTACTATTCATTAGAACACAAGGGAATAAAACAATTTGTGGTGCAAGGATAGAGAACATGGGTCCCAATAAAACCAATGTCATTTACATCAATATAAATATAATATTATATCAATATAATAGGTTAGGGTTATGGTTAGGGTTAGGGTTAGGGTTAGGGTTAGGCACATTGGTTTTATTGGGACCCATGTTCTCTATCCTTGGGCCCAATTTGTTTTTATTCACTTCTGATAAAACAATTTGTAATTGCATATAATTCTCATAAATAAAGTCAAATGTCTATATCTCGTAAATGGTGTGTTTACGCCTCTACGTTTTACCTTAGAACAAAATATACATTCACCCCGGACATTCGCATTCAATAAAATACTCTTCGCGAGAGGACGCCACGTTCAGCAAAGGGGGCGCCACTTTACAGCTCCTCGTTCAAAAAGAAGAATTGTGATTTTGTCAGAATTGATGATTAGAAGAAAATGTTTTGTTTACTTCTTACGAACGCCCGTATCTAGTGAGTATTGCATTCTAGTCGCTGCCGACCAGTAGGATTGATTACTGAAGGAGTATTGTAGTTTAAGCTGCGCTAAATGGGGAATAAAATGGGTATATTTTGTCTGGCTATTTACGTTTCGCGCTAGTCCGACCACAGGCACTTGGACCGTTTCAATAATAAAATGATGGTTAATAAATACAACTTGTCAGTAGCCTACTACTACAGTACCAGCAATAGTCTTAATGT